CGCAGATTTCGAAAATAATATTCATTTTTTCTATTACGTAAGGATTTTTTACAAATCGGGAAGAGAACAAAAACTCTTACTTAGATCAAATTGTTATTTCGTTTACCACAATGAACACTTTTTATTATAATGTTTGTCAACAAAAATAAAATAAAAATTAAGAAAAGGGAAGAACATTGATTTCAAACGAATATTCATCCTCGTTCATCCCGACTTTTTTGTGTTAAATCGACGTCTTTTAGTCTTCAAACTACGTGTTGTGGTCTTTCTTTTATGTATTGCGTTATGACATTTTGTGAAAAATCTGTACGTGATAAAGAAAAATGGATATCATTTTCGGATTCAGCGTACAGAAATTATTGTATAATATGTAAAAATTTCAAGACAATAAAACCATCGCAGGCCTGTGTTATTTGCCCGAATGTATTCGCATGTTATTATGTATTACAAACAGTGCTCGCTAGATGGCATTACAAATGTCGTTTATGCTGATCTCTATCGGATTTATTCTGTATTCTGTATCCTAAACACTGGAGGAAAAAGTTCCCTTTCTTTACTGTACTTTCATTTAAATAATAAATGTCACATATAAATTCAGATATGTAACATTTATTTATTGAGTATATTTTGTGCAAAAATATAATGACAGCTCATAAGAGAACCTTTGTTTCATTAACATATAAGTACACTCTATTAAAAAGCGAAATAAAAAACCTGAATTTTTGAACTAATTTACAAAACAGAACAAAAAAAACAACAAGAAAAACAAAACAAAGCCTGATACGTAAGGGGTAATAAGTAAACAGATTTGCCTAATAATTCATTAATGTTTTTCCATTACAAAATACAGTTTGAGGCATGAAAATAGTGGCTGTAAGTGTAGTAGGGACGCGGAAGGGTTACCTGTCCAGTGAAACCTTGAAATTCGCGCAATAACTGTTATAAATTTGCAAATGTAAGAAATCATCTAAGACAATGAAAGTGTTTGCTGAGGGATAACGATCAAAGAAAAGTTTGGCGCACCTGACCCGAGTTAGCTTGACAATGTAGGACCATAGAGCCTTGACCACCATTCCTTCCTACTCGACCTGGTTGTATGACAACCAGATGGTCAATTAGGGAAGTGGCTAGGTTAGAGAGTATGGCGTGCATGTTCAAGATGATCAGTGAAAACAAGCCAGAATGGCCATAGGGAGTTGGTCGAATGGAGACTTGGGGAAGCTAGGGGGATCAACAAGTATTCTAGGTTTTCGGACATACGTTCTACGGGTGATAATGAACGTAAGTACAAATGTTGTTCGACCAGTGCCTTATTCAAGGTTGTAGCTGAGTGTTGCAACCCCACCCCTTAAGGTACACGCTCAACTGGACACTTGAACAATTAGATCTTGACCAGCCCTTACATTTGGACTCTGTCTTTCGGTATTTAAAGTGAAGCTCCAGCAAAGATCAATCTCTTATTTTCAACTCCGAACTTTGTCCTTATCTCGACAGCATCCTAGTGTTGGTTCCAAAGTTTTCCTCACCTGAGAATATAGTAAAAAAAAGGACTCTTCATAAACTTTTCTCAACTCTTTCAAAACGCATAGGACTTCCTTCACAGTGAGGGGAGGGGGAGTCGCTGCAGAGACTGTGGATATTGGCTTCGAACACACTGTGAATGGGTCCTTGGATGTAAACTAGTTGCTGACTGATTCATCCAACTTAGAAAAGCTCGGTAATTCAGTGAGTGGGCTGGTGTTATTGTTTTTACTTGAGCCAGACTTCGCACGATGGTTAATGAACGCTCTGGTGTCGCTAGGGAGTCTAGACTGTTGATTCCAACAATTAATATTGTTGGAGGGCCCAAACCTTCAGGCAGCTCAACGGTAGGGACTGGTAGTACAAGAAATGCCATGTATAGAAGTAAAAATCGAAGAGACAAATGGTCCAGTGACTTATGTTATCCCAACGTGGAGTGCTGCACAACATCAAAGAGGAAATGGTAGGTGTGTTTGCAACTGTTACAGGAGTATTATACCCGGAAGCAAAAAAAAAAACTTTCCAGAACTAGATGCATCTTGAGAGACGTCTAAGTTGCAAACGTTCAAAGGCAGGGCAGACCACAGAAACGCTTCAAAGGCATAAGACATCAGAAGGAACCAAATAACGAAAACACTGACGAGCCAGACAACTCGTCTAGTGGGTCTCGCATCAAAGAGGGAGCCTTCACCTCAAGAACTGAAAAGAGTGGTCGACCAGGGAAATCGTACCCCACCATAATTGCTGAGGCTCCACCAGCCAAGAAACCACAAGAGACACCTCAGAGTTGACCTCCCATCCAAGCCACAGACGGTAATTATGAACAGGCTCACGCCAGAGCAGATTTTGGGGCTCAAGCGATACTGAAGAGACGGGCACAAAGTAGATGGAAACCTGGGCCCTCTACAACCACGAGAAGGATCAGCTAAAGTGAAGGGCCACTCTACCATCAATATATGAGAAAGATATATCAGATATCAGTGGTACAGGCTAACTGAAGGCAGAGAAACCTAGCGAGGATCTGTACAAACTACTACAAACCAGAATATGACAGCGATACAGGGAACTCTGCTCTTAGGGTTGCAGTGAGAGAGAATGATACCTCAGATGGTCTATGAGGGTAAGTGTACATTTGTGTGTATATATATATATATATATATATTTCTTTCGCTATTTGTCATGACGACACCCTTTCTTTTTTATGCATGTGAACAAGTGTGAAAGAACAATATATATTAAAGTGTTTCTTTGTGGTATGCTTTTCTGTGCTAAAGAATCAGTTTCTTAGTTTTAATATGTTTTTTATTAAATGGACCATTGTGTTGTGTGATCCTTTTCATGCATAACATCAATATAAACCTTTGTTAAAGTTGAAAATTTAATCTGTTAAATATGTTTTAAAAGTTCTTTATGTATTCTATATAATGTCGCTTTTTTAGATGAAAAAACCAAACAACTTATATATCAAAACAAAACATTAATTAAATGAAATAGTCTCCATTCTTGTCGATGATGCTTTTCCATATTATATTCAGGTTGTTAATGCCCTGATTAAAGAAATCACTTGGCTCTGAAGCAAAAAACATGTCGATGTCCTCTTTAACACCTTCCACAGTTGCATACGTTTTCCCATTAAGATGGTGTAGCACCAAACGTAAAAGATG